ACTCTTAAAAATAAAAGTATTCTGCAGAAAAATGTTCCCAATCAAACTTTATATATAACCTGCCAATAAATCAATTTGAATGTGTAGTTGAAGCGTCTTTATAGTGTTTTGCAAAAGGAAAGGTTCTTAAAAATTCATCCACCACTCATCAAGTATAGAAATAAAGATGTTTCACAGTTCTTTAGGAGTCCATCGAACGGACAATCCTGTCAGCATGTAACAAACGGCATGAAGAACAAAATCATACAATGGTATGTTTTAATCAGGTCCTATAAAAGCTGCTGCACACCACCGTTTCCATGTATCATCAGACGCATTATATGCCGTCTGAAGTTTGTCAGCCATTTTTTTTTCAGTTTTCTTTTTCAGACTACTTCGTGCTCTGTGGCGTTCTTAAGAACCACCTCAGCCATGTTCGACGGTCCTGCAGCTGCTCCTCCTCGCCCAATTAAACCTGATGAAAGTGACAGGCATCAGCAGGACAACTGTATCATCGCTGTTTGGCTACGTCGCTTGCGCGCCACTTTCCCTCTTTTACATTTTTTAAGTGTCCTTTTCATGCGGGTCATGAACAGGAACGATTAAAAGTGGAGAAAAAGAAATTTGCAGTTATTTCCTGTTAATATCTTTCCCTTGTTGGGGTCTAATGAGAGGAGTTGCCCCTTCACTTTCAAGAGGGCTTAGCAGCAGTTAGCTGGCTCCAGGCTGCGGGGACAATAATCACACTTTAACTCAGCCTCACAATGACTCACACCACTTAATTCCCTCTTTCAGAGCCGGCGATAAAACGCCAGAGGCAAAATTAATAGATGCTAATGGCCGCCTTCAATCAAAGCCGAGCGGGATCCAAATCTGCCAGTAAGGCCTATTAATTAACATGTGGAGCGGGTGGGGGGAGCACGGGGAGGCGGAGGCTGCCATACTGAGGCAGGATGGGGAGGAAAAAGGGGCTCTGCGGTTCACACGGGCCTCTGCAGGGCAGCCCATTGAAGGTGGAGGCAGGGGGGCTTTGTGGAGCTTCCCGGGCCACAATTAGAGCCTCCTGAATGGGCTGGCATTTGTCCTCCAGGTCCCAAAGCTGCACAGGAAAGGCCGAGTCTGGGCCACATGGGTCGAACCAGGCGTGCAAGTGGTGTCCGAGGCTGAGGACACGAGGCACGAAAACACACCCTTTCTTCTTCTATTTTTTGTAAATGCAAGATCAGTCCTCCTCCTCCTTTAAACTGCAACAATATGTTTGCCATAAATTTCATGTTTTCAGCTGTTAAAACTTCATTATGATCATCAAAAACCTTTGAAACCCTCTAATGATTCATTACAACTGATAAACTTCATATACTAACGGTAGCTTAGAATATTTGAATATTTCCATTAACCACAGAAAAATTATTTGTTCTCACAGAATTTAAAAAATCAAGCTTTACCCTTAAAACTGATTAACCCAGTGACGTTCCAGAAGGTAACATGTAGGCATCACTGTAATGGACTCCCCCGACATGTTTAAGTGCAAGTTTTCACAAAGCGTGAACATTTCTGTACTTTTAATTTGCTTTTGATGGTAATGAGCAGGATCAGGGAGAACCTGTGGTGTTCAATATTGGCAAAGTTAAACTCTGGAATAAAACTGAATGTGAAATAGAAAAGCCTGTATGAGACCACTTCACAAAGGTGGCCTGAGCATACAGAGTATTAGGATGTTTGCCAGAAGTGGATCAAGAATGTTAACCAAAGGATTTTGTCCCCAGTAACAGCACTGATGAGATTTGTTGGTTTATATGCACCTGCCTAGTATAGGCTCGTTTTATAATACATTTTTAACGTATTAAAAATGTATTATTGTCATTATCTGAATATATTACAAAATAATGGACGGATTTCTGCAAGAAGGTAACACCAGCTAATACTAACTGGCTAGCTACTATTAGCTTAGAAATACAGTCCACTTATCTCTAACATCCCCAAATGACTGGCTCGACACAGATTACAACACAAACTACACATGACAACAGAAACTAACCCTGATGTGGCTTCAGATTTTATTCTACTTATGATATCATGAGCAAGCAAGGCACATTTTATGAAACCTGACAATATTTTTTCTGACATTCAGTCAAACCGGATGCAGCTCAAAAAGATAATAAAAAACCAAAACCAATTATAATCAACATTAACCTGCCTGCTAATATGGACAAACTGTAACTTACCTACAAAGCAAAATACAGGTTTAAGCTGATGACGATGGCTAATTTATCTAAACCCCCAAGGCTAATCTGGTAAGCTAGCACGTCACTTTCACATTACTTTCTAAGCTAACATTATAAACAGCAGCTAGCTGGCTGTCATCACTATTAAAATAATATCTGAATGGAAAAGCTAGTCTGCTAGATTGCCTGAATACCTTACAATCTAATGTAATCCATGTCACTCAACTTATACATAACAGTCTTATTTTAGCTATCAGTAAATCTGGTTTGAAGCAAAGCAAAGATAAATAATATTTACTTTGTACTGTAACAATCAACGTGGGAGCATTTTGTCAACTAACTGCAACTTTGGCAGAATAGTTAACTTAGTCAGTCCTGCCTGACTAAGCCTTAATTATGCTTCTGTGTTGAATCTACGATGTAAATCATGCAAAAGGCCAATGTCATTAGCAGCGCTTATACTTGTGTGGCCTGTATTGGTCCACGTCAGGTTACAACGTGGGGTATTCAGACGTTTTTGTGGCTACGAGGGATTCATACAGAAAAGTATAAATCTAGTGTTAGCACGTAGCTGCTACAGTAATCGTAGCGCCATGAGAAGCCAGAACACGCAAATCAGTTGTTGTAGTGATCTAGTTGCAGCCTACTTAAAAAAACTGAAATTCTGAATCTTACATTTTCTAACGATTTAAGATTCGAATGAAAATACAACAGAAGTGACGGATTTCCTTGAAATATTTATTTAAAAAAACACAAACAACACAGGCTGTTAGCTATAAATAGCTAATGCTACCCAGTCACATGCAAAGTGTTAAGGCAGTGCAAAGAATAATATCACATTTCCTTTTACTTTTTTTTAAATTAATAAATACATTTATATAAATATATAACTGGAGATACTTGTAATTTCAAACTGTTATTACTATGGGCCACACTTTGGGAATCACTGATCTAGCCTGTATATCAATGACTTGTTTAATAAATTTTTTTTATCCCAAAACTGTTTATTATTTGTCTTATATTTTCATGTTGGAGTAATTTACATTACACATACAGTCAATGGCTCAGGTGTCGTCTTCACTTGACGTGATTTTCCAGGGTTTTTTTTGCTCTCTACAAAATTAATCTCAGCACTATATTGCTATGAATCACTAGAAAAACAAACATTTCATTTATTTACTTTATAAAAATTCATCTCCAGGCGATGGAAAAAGCAGATCTCTGTGTAGTCATTTAACTGATTTTTATTCTGTTATTTTTTACTTTATGTGATTTTTCTTTTTAAATAGTTTAATTTACATAAAATAAAACTTCAGCTGAATAAATGTCCAATCAGCTGATGAGCATACACTTCCCATCATGCACTGCATTAAGGCGATGATACCACAGAGATCCCTCGATTTCACTGAAGTTTGATTTTGATGGACGTGTTTATCGCCTCGGTCACAACATGAGAGCAGAGGACGTCTCGCTGCCTTCAGCTGCAGGACAAAACACATAAAAGAGGGAGTTTTCCTCTGACCTTTGACCTCCAGGGTCAATTGTCTTGTTCTGAGTCAATTAAAGTGTCACTCAGAGACACAGGGAGACCTGTGTTTTCATCACTTCAGAGGACATCACACTGGCTTTTATTCACTTCCTGGAGACTCACCTCACAATAAAATGTAATGACTGAAGTTCAGAACCCGAGTGTGTGCGAACACACTTCAGTGTGTGAGTGACGCACAAAGCAGTGAGGTCCACGGTCACGCTTCACAGTTTGGACCTGAAGCTCTTTGTTCGTGGTCACAGAGAATACCGTGAAATTAGCGTCAAAGGTGTTCTTACGCCAGAAAAAAAGGAACTTTGGGGGAATTTTTCAATTCTTTTTATGGATTTCAGGAAACTAAACCTAAACATATGACAACAAATCACTGACAAAAATACACACAAGCTAGTTTTTAGAATAGAATAGAATAGAATAGAATAGAATAGAATAGAATTCAACTTTATTGTCATTGCACATGCACAGGTACAGGGCAACGAAATTATACAATCTCAGAACAAATCAGGGGCGTTTATGCAGCAGCATATAGATGCGCCATGTTGACAGGAAGTTGTAATAAACTCACAGTTGTTACTGTGACTTCACATCATACACATTCAGGTAGATCAGCAGGTGGCTGCCACCCCGAAGCCCCTCAATAGAAACAGTTTTAGACTAATTTTTAATTTTTCTCTTCCTCCTCATCAAAAAATAAAAACAGAGGCACGGAACAGCTAAAAGTAGCCACAAATAGTCTTCAGAGTTTAAATATTGTCTCATTCCTTCATTTAATTAGTTTTGTGTCCTCGTTTATGTCACTATATAAACAGAAAGAGACAAAAATAATTAGAGAGATGGACAAAACGGCTCCACGGGCCTCTTTAGCCTCATTTTCTGTCTTATTTATTCGTTTTTTTCTTTTTGTTTGCTTCAAAAATTACAAATAATTACTAAGATGCGCAAACTGTCTCTTAATCCGCCCACACACACCGGGGTCAACTGTTTGTCACATTTCCACGATAAATAAATTTCTTTAAGCACATTTCCCTCTCACTAAACGAACATTAGAAGATAACCAGATGATGATTTTTAATTAGACAGCTCATATTAATCATCTCTTCTATGACCTCATCACTCTCATCATCATCCTCCTCTTAATCATCCTCTTCATCACTGTCAGTCATTATCATCATCACCTTTAACATTCCTCCTCCTCCTCACCGTCATCCTCTCCATCAACAAAATGGCTGTCGGGGCGGCTGCCTGTGCGCATGCTCGGCGCACACCTCTGGCAGAGAGGGCAGGTATCAGTGCCGAGGCTCCTGACTGACTGACACTCCCGGCTCGACTCACACATCAGCGCGCGGCGGCACGAGGCAGGAGGACACGCGGCCGAGGATCACCCGGAGCCTCTGAGCACTATCACCCCGACAGCGGACCCACCCCGGGCACAGGTGAGAGGAAACTTCGGCCCCTTCCCGGTGCGGAGTGTCCGGATTTGCGCTTTTACGCACAGCGGAGAGTCACCATGGGGGGAGTGGGAGTGTGAGCTCCCCGAGTCCGCGGACCTGGACTGACTGGACGGCGGGTCGTTGAAGAGTTGAGCGCTCGGTCTGCAGCGGTGCTCACGATGTTCCAGCACGGCGGAAACAAGAAGTGCTTCACCATCGAGTCTCTGGTCGGGAAGGACGGAAGCAATCACGGCGGCGGCTCCGGGGAGGAGCCCATCCGGCCCACGGCGCTGCGCTTCCCGGACTCCCTGCACCCGGCCGCTGCCGCCGGAGTGTTCGGCTCCTGCTTCCAGGGGAGCAACGGGAGGACTTTGTTCCCGGACATGGTGCTGCAGGAGCCCGGCACACACGCACAGGGCCCCGGCGGGCTGCCGCTGCACCCGCTGCAGATCCCCCCGCAGAGCTTCTTCAGCCCGCAGCACCGGGACGCGCTCAGCTTCTACCCGTGGGTGCTGCGGAGCCGGTACCTGGGACACCGCTTCCAAGGTGAGCCGGGAGGAGGAAGGGTGGCGGGACCCTCGCACTTACTCCCGTGGTTTCTGTCGCGTTTTAAACGCTTCCAGGCTCTTTTGGGGTCACACCCGGTCTCTCCACACTCCGTGGGTCTTTTCTCTAACGTGAGCGCCTGCGCTGTCTTAAAATAAACGGGTTCAGTGAGCAGAGAGCGCACCAAACTCTCTGAGTCTTCCTCTTAGTTTGACATTTAATTGTTCTCTGGTATTATTATTATTATTATTATTATTATTATTATTTTAAACGGTAGTTTTGATTGGTTTAATTTCAGTTTGGGTTGAGAAAGAAATACTCTGCACTCTGCAGATTCAGAGCTAACAGGATTTTGTAGTAACAGACTGAGTCACTGTCAGAGTTCAGAATAACACAAACAATAATCTGATGTCATTTGGATGTTTTCCAGACTCTAAAAACCAAAAAAGTATCGATGAACTAACTTTGTGTGTGTGTGTGTTTCCCCTCAAACACACACACACACACACACACTATAAATCAGAATTTGCTCCTGTGTGAGTATGAAACTCCCACCTGTAATATCAATAATGTTATTATTTAATAATCTGCGTTAATCTCGTCTTTCTGTCGGTTTTTCTGTTTTTTAACGATGTTGAATTTTTTGCTCCTCCAAACTTTTCTCATTTTTTTTCATTTTTTCCCGTAGACAAAAACTTTTTAATTTTAAAGCTTAGGTGAGATCGACGCGCGCCGATTAAAGCGGCAACATGTCACCGTTTTATGCTCAGGTGATTTATGTGTTATTGATGAAGGTGATTATGGATCCAAACTTTCAACTTTTCTAAAAACAAATCAAATCAAAACAACAACAAAAAGAGATTAAAAAACCCACAATTTCCTTTGTGGACTAAATATTCAGAGTCTCGTTTAAAGAGTCATTTCGTTTTTCAGGGAACTTTTTTTTTTTTTTTAAAGAAATTGATTATTGGGAGCTGCTCTTTGATTGGTGATCGGAAAAAGCGCAGCAGCTAAAATCAGGCCGCAGAAATTTTTAAAATATCAATAAAAAAATCTGATCAGCTCAAGTAACGAAATGTTTTTCTATCCTAAACACGGACATAATATTTAAATAATTTATTCAGTGAAGCCATATAAATGGGTCAGGTGTCTAATAATAATAATAACAACAACCATAATAATAACAATAATAATAATAATAATAATAATAATATGAAGAAGATGGCCATAACAGGACAAAAATAAAACAATAATATTTTTTTTAATTCATTTTTTGTCTTTTTTATTTCCATTAACCATAAAGCAAGAAACAAAACAAAAAATCTTATTTAATCATGCTACTCGAGAAATAAAATAAATTAAAAAGAAAAGGAAAATAGTAAATAAAACAAACATTTTGTATATTAGCTAAACATATGTAACATACACTAAACAAAGAATACAAAATTGATAAACTCAATTATTGGCAGTCATAAAAAGTCTAATGAAATTAATCATTTAAAAAAATCAAAATGTTGTGTAAATGAATTTGTCTCACAATTTAAAAAAACTATTTTATTTGATCTGGTTATGTTTGTAACATTACATTTTTTTTTCATTAAAAGCAAAAAAAGCAAATTTCTTCAGGTTAGTTAACAGAAAACATACAAAAAAGTAAAATTTTAAAGCCTGGAATAAAAGTGTGAAAACAAACAGGGGAAAAACAGTTGTTGAGAATCAGTTCAAATATGAAACAAAACAATTTTATTAAATAAAAGAAATTAAAATAATAGGGTTTTTGGAAAATAACCAAAAACACACATGCATGTGAGCTCACAAACTCAAATAAATAAATAAATAATCCTGACACTGAACAGGCGAGATTCACCTGACAGGCTGAACCTGAGCTGAGCTGCAGCTCGGTCATGTTTGGTTCACAGGTTTCACAGAAGTTTCAATAACGTTTTCGTCTCTCGGTTTAACTCTTAAATCCAGTTTCTCCGTGACATCACGTCTCAACGTTTTTATGAATCGCTGCTGTTAAAAAATATATATAATTTATGAGAAAAAATTGAAGCCATAAAGTAAACTCAGATTGTGTCAAATAAAAACCTGAGTGTTGGCCCGCTTTGTGATATCTACACATTTATTTATACAGTTATCTATGTTAGGAATATTTGTAAGATTTCTGTAGCCTGTTTTTGTTTTTTCAGTCCCATTACAACAACTTTATTTACATTCACGACTGGATCCAGTCATCATTTTTAAAGAAGAGACTCAGAAATCTCTGTTTCAGCTTCAGTTTACAGCTGATTTATGAGAGGAAACATTTTATCCATACTATTTTTTTTAATTATACAATTAAATATCTACGTAATTGTGGGGACTTAAGGAAAAAATACATTTTGCTTTAAACCCTTTTGTAAATTTTCAACCAAAGGTAAACAAAAATAAATCTTTTCAGAGTTCAGTGATTAAAACAAGATAATCTGCTGCTTTTCTTCTATGACTGTTATTTTTATTTTCAGTTGAATTAATATTTTTAGAGTTTTAAACATTCCAAGGAAGTTTTGGTAATTTGTTTAACCTTTTTTTTGCCCAAGTTAATCAATTAATCACCAAAATGTAAATTCTATTTTTTCTCAGTTATAAATCAGCATTTTCAGAATTCACTGCCCAGAGAGAGAAAATATTTTTTCTGATCCAGATGTGTCCTTCAGCTTAGCACATCTTCGGATTTGAAACAAAAATAAACATCCCAAACACTTCAAGTTCAAAAGGACCGCAGCTTTGGGATTATTTTCAGCAGCGGATCGATATAATGAACATTTGTGGCAACGTGTGTGTGTGTGTGAGAGAGAGAGAGTGTAAATAGAGTTAAACTGCAGAGTTACCTTTCCCTCAGGTGAACTGATTAACCTCCCCCCCGGCACACACACACACACACACACACACACACACACACACACACACACACACACACATGCTTCAGCTCAAACTTCCTTTTTTTCCGTCCAAACAGATTTTTGATTTCTGGCTCATCACATTTCTGCATTTCATCAAAATCGAGCAGAACCTCTTTCATAAATTTATTTTTGGTTGTAGTTCGAAGCGTTGTTTTCCCGCTCCTGCCCGCCGTTTATCTACTCTTTGGGAGTTTGGATCTTTTTGTTGTAATCTTTAGTCCTGTTGAGTTCTGCTCTGGTTCTTTGTGACTCCTTGTGGCAGTTTTTGTATTTTTGTGTAGTTTAGAGTTTTTGTGGTTGTTTCCTTTGTTGCAGATCTTAAGTTGTTTTGAGTTTTTCGTTTTGCGTCCCTCTGCGATTGTGTTTTCGACTCTTTGCCTGACGTAACTTTACAATAAGATGAAACTAAGTCGACGTGTTTGGAAAAAACCCAAAAATCAAACGAGTCAGGTTATTTATTTATTTATTTTTACATTTCTTAATACTTCTGCTGATTGTCTGTGAGCGCCTGTGAACCATCAGTTTTTGGTTCTTCTATGATTCCTTTTGTTGTTTTTGCTCAGGCCTTTGGTTTGGTAATGGCAGCCAATCAGAAGAAGGTTGTATTAAAAGGGGGAGGAGCTAAAACTGCTTTTGTCAGACTGAGGATGAACTGAGAGGCCCAGGCTGAGATACTGGGGGATTATGGAAATGAGCAGTATGGGTCGCCGTACTGCTCATTTTTTATTTATTTATTGTCAGAAAAGTGAAATCTGCGTTTTAAAGACCGTTAACCTTCAAACATGGCGGCGTGTGCCATGACCCACTTCCTGTTTATTACAGACTAAAACCTGAACTCTGGTGATGTTCAGCATCTGTTTCAGTGCAGATGTGCAGATGTGACATACCCGTGACATGTTTCCTGCTTCCCGAAGCACTTTAATCATCATTAATCAGACATTTATATTCACACATCTAAAGGCTTAAAAAGACTTAACTGACAAAATAATCATCAGCCCACAAAAATACTTTGTTTTTTCAAGCTGAAATATGAAACTGCTGGAGATGGATGCTCTGATTTTTTTAATGAACTATAATTTAAGTTCAGCCAGAAAATCGTCTATTTATTCTTTTCAGAAACATCAGCTGATAATTGATTGTAATGATTCACGATCGATGGAGCTCACCAAGGAACATTAAAATTGATCTTAAAAACAAAGAGAAGTTGTTTTACATTTCTTTGTCACTGTAAGCTAAGTTTTTAGCTCGAGGCTTCGTCTTGAGCTCCAGTTTGGATGTTTAGCTGCAGTCTCTTTAAGCTTTTCTACAAACCACGCAGGTGTCATTAAAGACGACCCTCACGGGCGTCTTTAGTTGTTCTTACTTCAGTTTGATGAGCGACAGTTCACCAGTTTCATCCTGTCTCTCAGCTCCAGAGAAACTTTTCATGTAAACCTGTTTGACTGAAATCATGAAAGTGAAAGTTTGAATAATCCTGCTGACAGACCGGACCGGTCACATGACCTGCTTCTCTCCCTCTCGGAGGTGAAAACCCCCCAGCGAGGCTGCAGGCGTTGGTTCTGCTGCGTGAAGCTGATGTTGATGGTGTTTTTGAGGGTGCGTTAGCTTCAGTCTCGCTGTGGGCGCGCTTCTTTATTTATGTGAAGCTATTCAGCCTCCTCCAGATGTGCGATTCAGTGTCGGAGTTCAGGTTTCTGGCTGATTTTGTGTCTTTTCTTTTCGGAAGTGACCTAATTAAATGTTCTTCTTCACATCTGACAGAAATTTTAAACAGAACATGAATGTGTGCACAGTGTTTTCTACATTTTAGAAGATTTTACAGTTTATTTGACGTCACAAACTCCTGGACTTCTCTAGTTCTCTATGAAATAATCATGTTTAATATAATAATTTCACATTTCCTCGTTTATTTATCTGAACATTTATTGGAGCGTATCTTTTCCCAGTCAGGGTTAGTGCAATGAAAGTAAAACTACAACTAGGTGATAAAAATATTTCAGGTAACAGGTTAAAAAAATAAAAGTAACATAACTGCATTCTATGCTTAAATAAAAAGCTAATAAATAAATAATAAAGTGTAGGGTAATGTGTTCAGTTTTAGTCTTTGTGCGTAAACGCGTGAAGAGCTTTGCAAGGCAAATCAAGGTAACACTGAAACTGATAAAAACTCAAACAAACAATTAAAAAAACCAAACAAACCGCAGTGAGTCTGCAGGCGCTGACTTTGTCGTATTTTTGTGTTTTGCTGGTGTTTCTGGGCTGTTTTCCAGCCTTCAGCTGCTTGTCTTTGTTCTACTCGCTCGCCTTCCCTCGGACTCTCACGCGTGACGGGGACAGCCCGACTGTAAATTGTGTGTGGTGTATGTGGTGGAGACGGCGGCGTTCGCCTTGATTCCACTGCAGAGTATGAAACTTCAGGTGGAGGCGGGAAACAAAAGAAACAAGCAGAAGCTTTTAGTCTGGAATCTGAAACCACGTTTTTCTGAAACCTGTGTTTTTACACGGGGACGTTACATTTGAGCTCGAGTCGGTCACGCTTTACCTCTGCTGGCTGTTCCAGATGTTTATGGAGCTTAATTGTGAAAAAAGGACTAAACGATCTTTTCTTGTGGCGCCTTTTCTGCTGGGTTTTTAACTTTTGATCTGGAGGTTATAAATTATTCTCAAAGCTTAACATGATCTACTTTTTCCTGAATTTCCCATTTTTATCAGCTTTTTGTGCAGTACATTAGGAGGTTGTTTGTTTAATGAAGGACTCACAGTTCATTTTTTCTCTTAATGATCAACGTGTCGCTCGTGTGACGTAGATGCAGCTGAGAGACGTGAAACTGACCTGATGAAGGCCGCGCGCTGAAACGCGTTGGTTAAGTCTTTATACTGAAATGTCGCTGACGCCTAAACTTCTCCTTGTTCTCTCTGGACCTTTGAATAGGATGAAGTTGTGTCATTTCTGTTTTCAGAAATGTTCGTGAAGTTCGGACGTTTCGATGTCACGTTTTTATTTTATTTTATTTTTGAGTAAAATTCATAAACTGACTTTTATTATTTGTTAAAAATTTAAATTTAAAAATTTAAATCCTGCCAACCGACTAACACGTTCTTCTTCTTGTGTTTCAACCTTTCCAGTGCGCTCGCTGCTGATTTTTCCCGCCATGAAGCTGCCGCCTCGGAGCTTCGCGACCTTTGACCTGCCTGAAAATCTCACCGTTGTTACATTAAAACATCATTTGATACTCAACAGAACTATTTGCAAGGCGAGGCGGCCATGAGTCACGCCACCCGAGTCCGCGTTTGCATATGAATGTCGCTTTAGAGACGCTAAGGTGGGATAAAAGGCGTGAGAACGTGTCGGCAATTGTCCTCCTCGCCTCCACGAAGCCGCCACCGTTTTTGCGTAACGCGCATCGTCCTCGGGCAGAAGTCGGATTTGTTTTTATGTAAAATATTAAGAAAGATATTTCCGTGCGATTTTAATAAACGGTCAGAAAACGAGTAACACAAAGAGAAGCGGCGGCGACGCTCTCGCTCAGATTTCTTTCACCATGCGCGTCTCACAAACAAATGAGCGTCTCGTTTTCAGCCTGTGATCGGTAAAACGATGATTCACCGCAGTAAAATCTGACCGCAGATCAGATTTAAGCGCGTGTTAGCTGGAAAATTAACTTCATCATCTTCGTTTCACGTAGCTAATTTACATTTCTGTGGCTGACGTCTGAAACTGAACTCGCTTCTGTTCGGCCAGTTTCTCAGATTTGCACAAAAGAAGATGTGACGCGGTTAAAAATGAGCCCCGGCCGTCGTCTTCAGACGTCCCGTTTTGTTCAGAGAAAGAAAAATATTCATTCAAAGCTTTAAACTGATGCTTTTTCTAAAACTCAACCGTTCGCCTCACGTTCCTCGTTGGTCAGCAGCACATTCGTCTCTTTGTTCAGGATTTGAACTGGCGAACGTCTCCTGACGGTGATTGGAAATATGGACGTTTCACCTCAAATCTATGCAATTCAGTTCAGTTTCCTTTATGCGGCGCCAAATCACAGCAACAGTCACCTCAAAGTCCAAAACAGACGGCGGAGAGTTTGTTTAAACTCAAGGTGGCATCGTCCTCTTTGACCCGCTGTTATCTGTCGTCACCTCTCCAGCGTTTGTTTGTAGACCTGAAGAAGCCTCTTGGATGTGAGCGGAAACGTCTTCAGACACTTAAAGAAGTCCAGTCGTTTTCTTTTCAGCCTCTCAAGTCTGCCATGACCTCTATAACTGAGAACTGACACGAGCGGCACATTTTCACATCCACGTTAGAGTCACACTGAAATTTAGATTTTTTTCCTGTTTGCTGTTGCTAAGGATCTAAATCTGATAACGGGAACGAACGCCTTTTAGGAACGTGGGTAAAATCCACCCTGACACTGGTGACCTGCTGGTGGTCTGACGGATGTTTGCAGGTTGAGTGAAGACAGGAAGTTTGCACTGAGTTTGCCTGACAGCTGGAAGGATTTGATGTAAAGACAAAGGCGGACAGTTTCAGCTCCCTGCTGTCATTTTTAGATGATTTTCTAGCATCTCTAAAAAAAAATCTTTAGGGACTGTTTTTAAATTGCATTATGTAGAAAACGTGCTGACCTCGGTCCTTCATGTGTTGTAAAGTAAATATCTGATCCTGTGGCTCTATGAATGTCAAACATGCGAGTAATTCACATCAGGAAGATGAAGGAGAACCGAAACCTGCCGTTTCTAAAACAGTTGATCTGGATTTGGTGCATGGTGTCATACCTGGGTTTAATCTGTGTGAAAGCCTTCAGCTGGTTTTAAAGAATAATCTGTACGTTGTTTACGAGAAACTAGAAATTAAAGTCTACAGACCTCCAAATATTTCAGGGACTTGAAGCGTCTGTCGTTCTGTGCATCCCTGAGCTCCAGGCTCACAGCTGTGGCAGCAGACATTTACCCTCAAACATCCCGAAGACTGAGCTCTGGGAGTTTTTCAAAAATCCAATTTTAAAACATGAAAGATGTTTGAGGGTTGTTTTTTTTTTAACCTCTGACCAAAACCAACACCCAAAACATTTGTTTTTTCATTTTTAAAGCTTTAATAGAAAAAGTAATCACATGTGTTCACGAAACTTGACTACTTGTTCTCTCAACACCGTCATTTAGGACCAAAGTAACCTGAAAGTTGGCAGTTCTGACCCAGATGTGGCCCACATCTGTAGTTTTCTTTAGGCCTCCGCTCGTCCACAGGTCCTACTTAAACGAGCACGGCAGGTGTGCTTGCTGATGCCCAGACGTGTCCGTCGCCTGTGTTTTAATGTTTGTTTCCCCTCATTTTCAAATTCCTGCCTTATTTTATCTAATCTCGCATTTTTTCTTTGGGCTCCAGATTTTGCTGCTTTGCATTTCCGTGAAGCACTTTGTGACGTTTGTCTATAAAAGCTGCTTCTGTTTTGGACTAAAGCAGTGAAATAATTTCCCAGTTTAAATCCTGCCATATGTTCACTTTTCATTTCCTGGTTTATAGATTTTAGTCCCACAAACTCCTGTATAAACTTATAAACGATATCCAGACCTCTGACATTTACCTGGGCACAAATTAAAGAGAAAACGGAAGCGATATTCAGATTTCTGTTCTGGAAAATCATCCAAATGAGTGGTGATTTCAGCAGATAAAGCTTCATTTGTATATTTAAAATTAACATTTCAGAAAAAATGAAACACAAAACATCATTCGCGGGATTCAACTGGGAAAGTTTGAAAGTGCAGGCTGTGGTCAAGCTGCACATCCAGATGCAAATGTCAAACAGACGAGGTGTTTGTTCAGATTAGCCAGAGCAAGCAAACACACACACACACACACACACACACACACACACACACACACACATAGACACACACACACACACACACACACACACACACACCGTGCTATAACAATGATGAGCTGTGCTGCTGCACATTCCTGTCTCTGTGAGGATCAGTGTGCGATTGCTACCCAGAAAAAAAAATCCCACATTAGACTTTACTATTTCAGGAGTAATTGATCAGTTTGCCTGCTTACTGCTTGTAAAAAGTAATTCAAGCCACTTACTCCAAAATGTCACCAATGTAGTTGTCATCTATTAATGCAGCACTACACTTTTCATGTCATGAAATAAAATGAAGATCTGAGAGCAGAATTTGGTGAAAAAGAGTCAACATAAAAATGTTGGTGAGTCACGCAGTAGCCTGAAATGATTGCCACTGATCTCCAGATGAGTTAGTAATTTCACAGCCTGCTGTGCCCTGGATTTTGCCTTTAAGGCCACAAACAGTCCAGCTATGAGCCTGCAGGCTCCGCTTGGGGTATTTTAATCAGAAAATAAAACGTTTGTGAGTGTTTGTGTGTATTCAGACTTCCAGTCAAAGAGAGCAGCTTTGCATGATTCACGATTCAAAATAATCCTTCTTTATGTCACACTGAACCGTGACCAAGCTTCTCCCTTCATCCTGCCTGGAATGAGCTCCTCCTCCTTACACCAGCTTTCCTCTAATTGGCTCTCCCTCAGGGGGAATATGCCCCCCCCCCAATGACATCACAAGTATCCAAGATTAGAAAAAACTGACAAACTGAGTGGTCGGAGCAGCAGGGCTCACTGAACATACACTAAACTTATTTTTACAAACTAACTCAGCTCTGTGTGTGTGTGTGTGTGTGTGTGTTCAGGTGAGGACAGCAGTCCGGAGAACCTGCTGCTTCACGGTCCATTCTCCAGGAAACCCAAACGGATCCGGACGGCGTTCTCGCCTTCGCAGCTGCTCCGCCTTGAGCGAGCCTTTGAGAAAAATCACTATGTGGTCGGAGCGGAGAGGAAGCAGCTGGCCAGCGGGCTGTGCCTGACCGAGACACAGGTAGGCATCATGGGAAACCGAGCAGGAGGAGCAAGGCATGATGGGAGGAGAAGGCGGATTTAGCAGAGAAAATGATGATTTCACAGTTTAGCGGAGAATAAAAAAAAACTTCTCAAAAACCGCAGGGTGAATTTAAACGAGATGAATGGATGAAAATGTAAAAAAGCGTCAAAACATGAAAACGTGAGTGAATACATGAATCAAAAGCAAATTATTTAAAAAAAATGAATCTATTGGACTCTAATTTGAATGAAAAGTGATCAATGAATGGATGAATAAACAATGAAACACTTACATGAGTCATAAGTTTCTTCAAAATTAAAACATTTTTGGAAAATATGAATGAATGAAAGTTAAGATTAAATCTTCCACCTAAAATATTAGTGAATGGATGATTAATAGAGGCATGAACAAGTGAATAATAACAGTCTACGGTGAAACAAGTGGAAAAGCAAGATTAAATAAATAAGTCTTCAACCGTGATTTAAACAGTGGCATAGAGTCAGACGCCCGGATAGCAACAGGAAGATTGTTCCATAAGACTGGGGCAGCTACAGCAAACGCACGGTCGCTGCGAGACTTCAGCCGAGAACGAGGTTGCTCCAGAAGAAGTTGGGTAGCAGATCTAAGTGCTCTGACAGGAGTGTGTAACCTAAGAAGCTCATTGAGGTAGCTCGGTGCCAAATTATTGATAATTTTGTATGTGAAAAGTAGTATTTTAAATTGAATACGGTATTTAACTGGCAGCCAGTGCAAGCCAGCAAGAACAGGAGTGATGGAAGAAAATTTCCTGCTACCTGTCAAAAGGCGTGCTGGACAGTTCTGGACAGTCTGCAATCTAAGGAGAAGGGAGGAGGAAAGGCCAATGTAAAGAGAGTTGCAGTAGTCCAACCTGGAAGTCACGAATACGTGAATACGTTTTTCCAGGTCATTATGCGGAATATAGCGCTTAGCCTTAGAAATGAGGCGCAGCTGATTAAAACTAGACCTCACAACAGCAGACACTTGCTTGTCAAATGTAAACGAGCTATCCAGTAAGATGCCCAAATTACTGTCATAATCAGAAGGGGAGCTAGCAAAAGGCATCAGAGCAGCACACAATTGGTCACGGGGGATTTTACTATCGTACACCACGATCTCCGTTTTCTTTTCGTTCAGGACAAGAGAATTACTCTTGAACCAATCTTTAACTTCACGCATGCATTCACGAAAATAGCGAAATGACATAGCAAGATCGTCAGTAATCTCAAAATAAATCTGTAAGGCAATATTATACTTCTCAAAAATTGCTCCAAGAGGGAGCAGATATAGTGAGAAGAGAATAGAGCCTAATACAGATCCTTGAGGCACACCACAGGGTACAGGTACCAAGCAAGATGAGAAGTTCCCCAAATTAACCAAGAATGACCTGTCAGTGAGATAAGATTTAAACCAGTTGAGGGCAGTGACTCTTATACCCACAGTATGCTCAAGTCTTAGTAGAAGAATGTTATGATCCACCATATCAAACGCAGAGGAAAGGTCCAATAAAACCAGGACCACAGAGCGTCCAGAATCAGTGCTTTTTACTACTCTGTCTATGAACGGATGACCTAAAACAGAGAAATGTCTTTTAGATGAAAGCATGAATGCATCAATTAAATAAAGTACTCAAATGGTACCAAAAAAATCATCTTTGGATAAAAAAAATGAAGAAAAACTTAAAAAAAGAGTTTTTTGAATGCTAAATGGAGAACAAAGATTTCATTCAGAATGAATGGATGACTGGGTGGATGAATGGAAGAGTGGTGGATGGATGAATGGATGAGTGGGTGACTTAATGGATGAGTGGATGAATGGATGGATGGATGGATGAGTGGAAGGATGAATAGATGAGGGGGTGGATGAATGGATGAGTGGAAGGATGAATAGATGAGGGGGTGGATGAATGGATGAGGGGGTGGATGAATGGATGAGTGGAAGGATGAATGGATGAGGGGGTGGATGAATGGATGGATCGGTGGATGGATGAGGATAAACTGCCCATAAAGAACAATATTTTAGGCAAAAACCAAAGACTGAATAAAAAAATACAAAATACAGCGTGAGAATAAGAAGAGGTGAATGAGTGAATCTCTTAAATAAAACACCTCACAGTGTGTGTTTGGGATTTGAACCTGTAACCCTACCTGTGTTGGTGCCTTGCTCGCCGGGCTCCTTGCCATCCGTCGGGATGATGCTCTGTCTGGCGTCAGGCTGCTGGCTGGGATCCAGCCTGGAGGAATGGCGGGGGGAGGAGTGAGTCGACGGTTAGTCAGCTCCCGCTGCCTTTTCTCAGGGCTGATCAACAGTGTTTGTCATCGGGTCGGTGCGGTGATATGCGCCCTGACGCCAGTGATTCACACACCTTTTTTTATGAGCTAATTTCACAGCAGAGGACAGGAAGACAGGCAGTGAGTGATCCATCAATCAGCTGGGAATCAGCCAGCAGCGGTTATTAATCGCACATAAATCACAGCTCTTTGCAGTAATGATCGAGTCGCTCCTGCAGGACGTCTCAGGGCTTTCCCAAAACATCAGCTTCAATCAATAAACAGCCATCACTGGAAGGCCACTGGGGGGGGGGGGCCCGATGAGGGGCCGCAGTAGGAGTATCGCTTACAGTGACAGCACCTCGAGGGCATGTTGGTCTAACACAGCGGTTTCAAACATCCGGCCCGTGGGCTACATCAGGCCCGCGGTGTAATTGTATTCGGCCTGTCAGTATGCGGGAGCCAAATCTTCAGCCCTGCAGAGAATCCATGCAGGCAGGGGCGGGACTTTATTTTGAAACGGAAAACCATGCAGCCAATCACATGCAGACAATAGTGGTACAGGCCAAGTACACAGAGAGGCGGGGAGTCTGATTTAAAAAAAAATCAGGAAAAAGTGAAGAGATGGGTGAAAACGTAAAATGAGCAGCATCTGGCTGCATTTCAGTGATTTTGGAAAGCTGAGTGTAGAATTTATAAAATTAGGATCTGGATGAAGTCATACGCGTTTTTAGTTTCAGTTATTTCCCATCATGGAGGACAAAAGGTTTCAAACCTCATGTGTGTTCTCACTGCTAGTAGTGAATCCATATAAGCTTTTATGAAAACACTGGATAAAAAATGGCTTCCTTGAAAAAGATTAAATTTACAGTTCAGTGTTCAATATTACATAAAATAAAGTGTGTTTGAATGGCAGAGATGCAGAGATGTGTGCATGTGGCCTGAATGTGCGCCTGAAGCCATTTATTATTATAATTTATAATTCTTGTCTTGTTTGTTCTGCTGCTCATTGCAAACAAGCACAAGCAGACATTGGACTTTTAATTGTATTTTTACAGCTTTTCCTACTGATAAAAACTTCCCTCATGGCCATTCATACTACACAAAGTAATTAAGCAACAAACAATTAAATTACAGAGAAGTTTTCTTTTCACTTTCTATGGTAGAAATTTCTGAAAACAAAAAATTGGACCGTGGACGATGAGCTACCACAACTTTTTCTGTAATTTTGCTGACAAATTTCTTTCTTTGTCTTTATCGTGTCGAAACAGTTAAATAAAGGGGAGTTTCACTGGTCCACTGATCAAAGTGGGCTGTATGTTGCCCTCCATGTAAAACGAGTTTGACAGCCCTGCTCTAACATTTGCAGGATCCAGCCTCGGAGCAGTTTATTGGTCGATCTATGTGAGAGTGAGGACATCCTCCGTCTAGAGTTTAAAAAATGAGCAATGTTTTATTCACTGAGGCTCCAAACCAACGACTGAGGTCATTAACTCATCAGGAAGGTGCTCACTGAGGTCACAGGTCATGGCAGACTTCTATATAACCTGAACATTTGTCTAACAAGTGGCCATGGTGGCCATCACAAAGAAAGCAGGGTTAAGGCACCTCTGCACCGGCTTCACTTTTCAGACCTGGACGGTGCTGTCTCTGGATCTAGATGTTCCAGTGGCATTTTCCAGTTCCTGCTGGTGAAGCTCGAGATATTCCCGGACTAGGTGGGATATATAATCTAGCCCAGCACCTCCAAAGACCTCCGAAAACATGATCTGAAAAACAGGAAGAGCTTGGTTATCCTGTTGTTCAGATCATGGAAGTGATATCGGACAGAGCTGGAAAAAGCTGACGTGCTGCTGGAGAAGCTGATTTGGGTAGTTAGTATCCAACACCTCATTCTTAGGAATGGAAGACAGATAGAGTGACAGCTTTGGTTAAAGTCCAGCCCCTCACTCTGGGGCTACAACTCTCTCCCACACAGGTTAGTCATGTTTAACTGAGGCGGATTTGTTGTTTTCAGTCCTGAGGCTCTGAGAGGAGCCTGATAATCACTTTCCTTTGCTTCATCTGGAGACTAATGAGCTCCTGACTCTTCATTTAGTTTGAGAGTGACGAGTGTGACCTGTGGTGCAAGAACCCAGCAGGAAAATCCTATCTTTAACTGCCTTCTCATTGAGAGCTCGAAGATCTGATATTATTAAAGTGTCACCCGAGGCCTTGGGGAACGATGTGTTTCTATCATGTCTATCTGTATCCTGCCATCCAGATTTACTGTCGATTCAGTCGGCAGATTGTGCAATGTGAGCTCGCTGCAAGCTCGATGAGTTTTAACAGTTCTGCGTGTCACAGCCGTGTTTTACCAGCGTAGAGGTTTTAAATCACTGCGAGTGCGAGACTCGCACACGTGTATCATCAGCACTGACGGCAGCACAGGATTCCAAAGAGTAGCTCTCAGAGTTCTCGGGTGTTTATTTAAGTAATACTTGTGTACTCGTCACATGTGCAGAATAAACACACCTTCACTTTGTTGTGCAGTACCTCAACGTCTTCAAGTCTTCTTGGGAATATGATCTTCCATCTTTAAATACTCTGCTGTTCTCTGTGCCACTTATGGACTTCCATCGTCATTTCAGCTCTGTCGGGTCTGACGAGCAACCCCACAGCATGATCATAACTCCACCGTGGAAGATAAAAACTAAAAACTAAAGCTAGATGTGAGAAAAGAAAACCATTAAAAAATGGACATTTGTGTGTTTGTAAAACATCTAGAAAATCAGTTTTGTGAAGATTTTTCTGTGTAAAAAGAATCCAGTTCACAAACAGTTTCTAAAGGTTTAAGATGGTTGGACTGTTCAGTCGGATTCTTGCATAAGCCTCGAGGGAATAATAAACGGTACATATTTATTTCACTTTATACTGACAACTGAGGTCAGTTTAATTCAAACTAAATGTGACGGAGAGAAGAGCTCTTTAAATTCAGAAATCTAAAAGATCTTCTTCACACCAGCTGTAGGGTTTGTTCTGGTTGTTCATACATTTATGGACAAGAAATAAAATATGAATAATTTTAATTAAATCTAAAACAATAAAAGAGGCTCTTAAACGAGTCTAAGAGAGGGAAATTAGTTTTAGTCGAAATCTTTTCTCCCTGTACCACAGATTGAATAATGTCTTTATTCAGGTGTGCTCAGCCCTACGTGTGTCTCTGTGTGCAGGTGAAGGTGTGGTTTCAGAACCGCAGGACGAAGCACAAGCGTCAGAAGTTGGAGGAAGAGTCTCCTGAAGCTCAGCAGAAGAGGAAGGGCAGCCAGCACGTGAGCCGCTGGAGAGCTGCGACGCAGCAGGCCAGCGGCGAGGACGTGGACGTCATTAGCGAGGACTAGAGCGCAGCGATCGCACCGTCACGAAGCTGTTGATACACAGAAACACACACATACACACACAAACACAGAAACTGCCCCTGGGTCAGGATAGCTTGAAGACACCTGCAGGCACACAGCTTTTATTTTGAAAGGCACTCCAGTTCTTTACATGAGGTGAAATATCAGCATCAGAACAATCAAATCTGCTTTTAAGATTGTTTTCCAGGATGTAAATAAGTTCACTTTTAATGTGATTTAAAGTCACATGAGATTTTTCATCCAGGTAAAATAAACTGACCGGAAGCGCCAAAGCTTTCAGTCGGATATTAAAACCAAACTGAAGCAGCTTCAGTTCACATGGAGCACAGTGCATCCTTATGTCCGAGAGCCTGGACAGTGAACGCACCACGAGGCCCTCCTCAGCCCTCAGTGTCTGAGGTGCAATGTTAATTATTCTTGATCTGATAGAATGACTGAGGACGGTCCCCATGATCTTATTTTGGAAGTTCACTAAATGCTAACTCGCTCGTCCCGCTTCTTCCTGTAAATCACTGCGTTTTTCAAAATTTTAGAGACCCAATAATATTTAATCGCTGTGAAGGCTTTTTTTTTTTT